GCATCTCTGTCTTTTTCGGCTAATAATTTGTAGGAAAGCTTTCTCTATGTCTGAAGTAAAGGCGACTTTGTTTAATCTGAAATTAACAAGAATGTCGAATATGTTCGAATTCAGGTTTGGCCCTGACCACAGGCAATCATTTAGACTTAAATGCTTAAAGTTATGACTGGAACTTGCATCAAATACTATTCTCATTTTTGTAGTTGCACTTTCCTCTCTAAAAACTGGTTGATGTGGCAAATAGAACACAGGTTTATCAACAGGTTCCTTAGGACATCTAACTTTCTCTATAATATTCTTATTTTCATAGTCTTTTAAAGTTTCAATATACTGCAAATGAAGATTTGGATCTTTTTGAAGTCTACGCATAAGTAAATTAAGTCTGCTTTTTTAGCAACGATGAAGTTATTATTGAGCTCTCCCCAATCTCTTTTCCATGGTAATTGAACCTCATACCGGTTATCTTTAAAACGAACAGTTTTTTTTCAAATGTTTCTAAAGATTGATCTATCTCATTTTCACTGGGATCATCTTTAATTCCTATAGACTCAAGTTGCCAAAATTTTTTAATTTCATTTTCTATATCACTATAATTATTAATTAATCCACAGTGAACTGCTTCGCGTATTTTCAATCTCTGAACCTTAAAATGCTGCCAGTGGCTATAAAGCCAAAAACAGAATTTTGAAATCTTAGCTCTGAATTGGGCACTTCAACTTGACCGAATTTTAAGATCTGATAAAACACCTCTGCGCCTAATAATGCATCAATTTTTCCTCTTTTATAAAAGTTTGGATCAGCAAACTTAATGTTTTGAGGAAAATGTTCAGTCGGAACTTCTATATTATTGATTGGTATGGAGTCCGAGATTTTAGGCACGCACAAAAATTCTAAACTCATTTCAAAGTCAATACCGTTTGAAATAGAAGCACATACTTTAGAATTAATATTTATTCTCGTGTTATTTAATCCAGAAACCGCAACAGATATTTTTTCTCTTTTAATCCCTAACGAATTAGCACATTCAATCGTTAAGAATGACGTCATCGAACCTACATCACACAAAGCGCGAACTGATTTTAATTCACCATAGCAATCTCTTATTAAAATATTCGCAGTAGAAAGTAAAACATTTTTGGTCTGACGCATTCCGTTTACAGCTGTGTGCCGACGAAAATACTTTCTTTATTGGTAGAAGAAGAGTCATAAACAAATTTTTCAGCATTCGGATTGAGACTGACTGTCGTCTTCTCCCCCCCCTACTTCCGGCTTTGAAATATGAGCACTTTCGGATTTATTTTGTTTTTCATTTTCGAAATGTAACAGCGTTGAATGCTTTCGTGAGCATTTTTGACATCGATAATTAGACGAACACGTTCGAACGGAATGGTTTTTCAAACAATTAAAACAAAGCTTATTTCTTTTCACGAATTCACACCTGTCATTGACAGAAAGATTTATAAATTCCGGACACTTATATAATGAATGGAATTCTTCACCACGGCACTTTGTGCACTTCAAAATTTATGTTTTTCGTATTAGAAGTGGATATCATACTCGTAAGTTTTTTATGTGGAGAATTATTACTCTTTTTTACCTCCTTTATTTTACTATTTTGAAGCGTTCTCGCTTGGCTTTGTAAAAACGAAAGTAATTGTTCAATCGTACCAAATTCTTCCGAGTTTTTTAATTCCTTTTCCCACCAGTATCGAGTCGATTTATCAAACTTATCCACTATCAAATATACAATCATTATTTTTTCCGATAAGTTTTCTACTTTGTAGTTTAAAATATTTAAAGTTCGAATACATTCGTTCGTTACATCAATTAAATTTAGAATAGAACTAGATGTCTCGCTAATACTTCGGCTGATTCAAAAGCTTTTTTATTATAGCATTTAAAAGCTCACGTTTATTCGAATACCTATCTTCTAAAAGTTTCCAAGCTATATCGAAATTTGTATCCGAAATAGAAATAGACACTGTATTACTCTCAGAGCTTCGTCCTTACAACTAGCTTTTAAATATTGCAATCTCATTGCATTACTCGAAATAGATTTGTTTTCTATTACACTAGCTTTAAACATATCTTTAAACATTATCCAATTCTCTATTTTACCATTGAATGTCGGTACCGATAGCGTCGGTAACTTAACATCCGAAAACACATTTGAATTATTATTACTCGGCACAGAAGAAACAGAATGTTCAGAGTTCATCTTATTTTTTACAACTAATTTACGTTCAATCATCAAAAGCAACTCATCAACGACATCATCTGTATCTTCTTTATCCTTAATAAAGTTATCCAATTCATCGGGTTTACATGTTTCGAAAATTGAATAAAATACAGATTTAAGTTCGTTAGAAATTTCATTAGTTTTGGTTCATCAATAGCTGCAACGCAACTGAATCTGAAACATCTAATGACGAAACAACTTTATCTTTATGCCCCGTCAGTGAACTTTTTAACACTCTTTTTCTAGTTTTTAGAGCTTCCATATTTATGACAGTTATACTCTTCAAATTTAATAGAAATTAAAATGGGAGAGCTCACCTTCGATTCTCGACGGACCACTTGAACTGTACTCAGGAGCTGGTTGACTTTGTATTTAATAACAAAGATTATCATCAGAAAGATATTTACTTTATTATATATTTATTAATCATTTTGTTGCTGTAGAGGAACGATCTGGCTCCAAAACATTTTAAATTCTCAATCACAAAGCTGTAAGATTTGTTACAGCAAGTACACAAAAGAAAAGAATACTCAATTCAAATTACGTAGGTCGAGAGTATAACGCGCTAGCAGCGCCTCCTGTCGGCAACTCTTAATCACTACTGAACACTAGATTTAAATTGATGATCTATAATCTGGAATCGCCAAAGTCCCGATGAGTCCGCATTACTGACTTTACTGTATTATCTATGCCTGAAATTCACTTTTGTAATACCATCCTAAGAATAAAATAGATCCATACTTAGGATGCATTATTATTAAACATAACTAAATTAACATAATTATTAAAAGTTTGAGAATGAAATAAACTTTTTGAAATTTATCTAGTAGCATTATTTTACACTTATAATAATTGGACACATTTGAAAGGCTATAAGTGACATTTTATTTATGTTTTACTAAGGGTTAGCTTTATTTGTTAGTCTCATTTTGTTGCATACTTGCTCAGTTTAGAGTTTCTGTAAATAGCAGGTTATAATTTATGTCAAGTGGCATAGCTTAAAATGAGAATGATTTATAACGAAAGACTGGCTGTTGTTACCGCTGCTGATCAGAACAAACCTGAAAGGCCTTATGTAGGTATGTTTGGCAAGTTTTGAAAGTTAAATCTAGAAAGTCTAGTCTTTGAAAGTTAATTTTTAGTCTCATTAAATGTGAAGAATAAGTTTTACATGAATTTTTACATTTTTGTGTTTTATCTTGTGACCACGGTAAGGGTAAAGGAAAGGAAATAACTCGCTTTAATATGAAGAGATAATTTTTTATAGTAAGCAGTTAGTTACAAATAATTAAATTAGGTAGTTAGATACCCTTAGTCATTATGGATATACATGGCCACTATTAAAATCGCAGTCTAATAAAATTTCACAGTTTAAAATACGTGTAATTTATGACATTGATTCCTAAATGATAATGGGATAATTACACATTTAAGAGCTACAACAACACTCAACAAAATATTTATGCATCTTTTTAATTTGAAGCCTTTCCAGACATTCTAGCTAATACAAGGGGTGATCAAAGGAAAAGGTACGAAACGACACGGTGGGTACAAATGTAGACTTCATTCAAAATATACACCATAGGCTTGAGCACAATGATCCCACTGATGAACAAGCCGCAGGATTCCTTGTTCCCAGAATTCCTGTGGCCATGACGAGACCCAATCCTTCACAGCATCCTTGAGTACGTCGTCCGAGTGGAAGCGCTTTCCTTTCAGGTGTTTCTTCAGTGGACCAAATACATAGAAATCGCAGGGCGACATGTCCGGACTGTAGGGCGGATGGTCCAACGTCTCCCACTTGAACTTGAACAGTTCCATGTGTGTGACTCTGGAGACGTGTGGACGCACGTTATCATGGAGAAGAACCACACCCTCCGTGAGCAGCCCCGGTCTTTTGTTCTTGATGGACCTGCGTAGGCGTTGGAGTGTCTCACTGTACACAACGGAGTTAATGGTTTTTCTGTGCTTGAGGAATTCCACAAGTAGTGGACCTTGAACGTCGAAAACAACGGTGTGCAACACCTTGCCTGCTGACGGCACGGCTTTGAACTTTTTATGAGGAGGTGACGATGCATGCTTCCACTGCATGCTGTCCCGCTTTGTCTCTGGCTCGTAGTGATGGCACCAGGTCTCATCACCTGTCACAATCCGCTCCAAAGCGGGGTCTTCTTGATAACGAAACAGATGTCGCAGTGCAATTACATACGCAGTTCCTTTTGCTGGTGGGTGAGCTGCTTCGGAACCCAAGCGGCACACCCCTTCCGATGTCGCAACCTGTCGTGAACGATTATCCACACGGTTTCATAGCTGATATCCACCTTCACCGCCAACATTTGCAATGTGACACGCCGATCACTTCTCACTTGGTCGTCCACCTTGTCGATGAGATCGCTGATGATGACAGTGATTACCTGGCCTGGTCTCGGGTCATCACCCACACTCTTGCGATCTGCACGAAAACGGGCACTCCATTTTCTGACAGACTTGTCAGAGACACATTTCTCCCCGTAAACTGTCACTATCCGGTGATGAACAGCTGCAGGTTTCTCACCTTCCGCTGTCAAATCGGATAACACCATGCTGCTCCTCAGTCATCGAATTTTGCAACGCGAACGCCATCCTCTCCTCATACAGACTGCTGCATCATCTGGACGTCGCTTTTGATAAGAGCCACTGCTCTCTCCTGCACATGCGGGCGCCCGCGCATTCTCTGATCCCAGTAAGACTCCAATCACATCCCGAGATGTATCGCTACGTTCTCCCATGGCGAAATATGCAAATATTTAAATTTTACATTTTTACGTCGTTTCGTACCTTTTCATTTGATCACCCCTTGTATATCAATTTCCTTCTCCTTAAGCATCATTTCTACCAATTAGAAATTTGTTTCAATATACAAACTAGTATTCTAGTATACATAAATTCTCTTTAAAATGATATATACAAGTTGCATTTTGTGAAACGTAACGTTTTCTATAAGCATACAAAGTTCAAAAACATAAAAATTTCCAAAAGTGTCCACAATTTTACCCACCACTGTATATCTTTGAAGAATAATTTTCTTTCTCTTTTTGTATTCAGTTTTTTCTTCAACAACACATTTCCTTTTCGTTTTAGAATTTTCGGATTTAAAGATTTTTATTATTATTATTAAAAAAAAAAAAAAAAACTAAATGCATTTAGAATATCTAAAAAAAGCTGCTAATTTTATTTCTTTAGTCATATGAACATACAGGTGAAATATGAAATATATATGGTGAGGGCCATTTAAATAGAGCTGAATAAATTAATGAAAAAATTCCTTCCTATAATGCCTGTCCTTGTGATGTGATTAGAAGCATTTCTGATGTTTTCCATGCTTGTGTCTAGTGAAAAGTAGGGAAAGTAAAGGGAAGAGAAATATTTTAAGAAAAAGATATTCTAGTATCAGAAGTAAAAACATTCAAATATTATGTTTTATTGTTCTTCCAGACATTCTCCAAAAAATAAGAAATTCATCATAAACTTTCTGTAAAATACATCCATTACATGTTAATACCATGGAGGCATTTTTCATTCTATCACGTTTTTCTAGAATCGTGGGTTTATAAATCTTGCTTTCAAAATCCTTCTAAACTTTCCAAGTTCCAGTGTGTAAAATCCTAAAAAAAATTACCCTTGCAAATTCTATAACAGTAAAAAGCCAGAAATATTTTGAGGGAGGAAAAAAAAAGGAGGGTAAAAGTGCAAAATTAATTTCATAGAGAAAACTGATGCATATTCTGAGAATTTTGAATAATCGGAGACAAACATAGGAAGAATTTTTACTGTAAAAAAATTAAAAAGAAGACATTTTTAATTAATTACACAGTTATTTTGCTTTTGCTGTTTCATAAATTGTGCTTATAGCATTATACCATATTTATTTTTCAGATTCAAAATATTATGTAAGTGGCCAAAATAGAACTTTATAATAAGACAGCGAAACATAAAAAAAATGTTTTAAGTTATTTTTTAAATATAATTTCAATATATTACATTACTTTAATGAAATTTATCAATGTTACAATGTTTTCAAAAAAAATCGTCGAAAAATTCCCAGTTAACGGAATCAAAAATTTTCTATAGAAACCGATCTTAAAATTGCTAAAATATTGATAAGTCCCAAATTTAGAACTAAGTCCCAAATTTAGAACCATTTAATAAAAGAAATCATCTCAAAAGCAAAAATTGTTTAAAAGCTCTTCATTAGAAAAAATCATATAATTTCGAATGATTGCTTCACTTCTTGCTCAGAAACTCAAGTATCCCACCATTTATATTAGAAATAGGAACATATTATAACCCATTCAAAAGATAACCATATTTGTGAGTGAATCGCCAAAAATATTCCTCCAAAATGCTAATTCACACTCAAATTGGCAGTCGTAAGAACAGACAGAAATTTCAGATAATTAAAATTAAGGACCTTCAAGGACCAAACGTTGATCCCAAAAAACTTAAGGGCTTTTAAGGACCGTATAAACCCTGTTGTATAGAAAGAATTGAGTTTTATGTCACACTAAAAAACTGAAATTGCTTTCTTGCCAAATAAATATTTCAGATTGTTTATGTTGCAATAGAATGTTGAGTAGACCCAAGCTGGCAGTAGTTTTGGTAAATGAGTTTTCTAACAAAATTTGGCTAGAAATCTCCAAACCTAATCTGGCAGTTTGGTCCGATCTCTGTATAACTGTATCTGGCCTTACATGTAACTGTTCCTTTGAGAATTTGAACATAGTAAAAATTTTTCAATGGCATGGAGAAAACTATATAAGATTGGATAGAGCATCAGTTCTCAGTTTTTAGTCCAGTCATCTCCATGCGAGCTTTGCTCTTTGCGTTGCACTTTCCATCGTGTTGTGTTTAACATTCTGAGTAGTTCGAATTGATAACTACTGATTGTGTTCTGTCATTGCGGAGAACAGCTGCCTTAGTACTTTTGTAAAAATTTCCAGAACTGTAAAAGGAAAATAACTGGAAACAATTGCGACGTCATTCAGTTGCTACGTGTATCTTCTCTACCCTCTACAGCTATTCTCATATGATGGAAAGATTTCCTGGCTTGTGTACCAAACTCTATTCGCTATAAGTATACAAAAGAATAGGATCCACAAGCTAATATTGAAGTGTTTTAAAAGACTAGCAGTGTTCAGTTGAAATCTCGCCAACAAGCCCAAGGAAACAGCTAGAAGCTGACCACAGATGTTGAGAGGCTGTCTTATTTAGCCTTTTTGAACTTTGATTTAGCCAACAGAAACAAGGAAAATTCTGTTCCTGCAATACTTCATTTATGGCATCTGGAATCCTATTTAGCCTTTTTGAACTGCCCAACAGAAACAAGGAAAATTCTGTCCCTGCAATACTTCATTTATGGCATCAGGAACCCTGACATGGGAAAAATCTGCAAAAAGATCTAAGAAGTACTTTTGAGTATGTCATTAAATTTGTGGCAACCCAACAAGCAACTAGTAGATACCATCAAATTAGAGAAGTCCAGGGGTTATAGTGGACTAAGTTAATGCTCATTTCGGCAATTTAAAGTCATGCCTTGAGGTGCATTAGAAGTGGCAACAAACCAAACCTAAATTGATGGAACTGCAGAACACCCCATGATACAGAGGCTAAGACCGCTGCACTGCAAGGAGGCAGGAAACAAATTAATGGTCAATTTCCCAGAGTGGAGGTTCGCAGATATTGACAAGTCCCATTTTAAAGTGCTTCAGATTTTTGCAGTGAGTGATGGCAATACTGGACTCCTCATCATAGGACATATAAATGGAATTCCTTGCAATATGACCATGGATAGTGGAGCCAGTGTTACCATTATCTAAAAAGATTTGCATCAGCAACTGGAAGGTGACTCGTCAGGATGATGTCATGCATCACCTGCTGTGTCTAGTGATAAAATCGACAGTGATGGAAAGTAAAACGTTAGCATCTTGTTTAGAAGTGCCGCCTACCATCAGACAGCATATGTGGTAAATATTCTCAACCTTTTGACGAATGCGTACCTAAACAAAAACTGAAAATCATTAATCGCACTTAGAAGTGGTATAACACCAGGGTGCCTGCATCAAGAACCCTACCCCTTGTTGAACATGTAAGTTGTTTTGAATGCTGTCATGAGTAACTAACATAAGATATAATATTTTTTTTTTAAATTATGATAGTAGTTTTGAGTAATGGGATAATAAGATATTCTAGTAGAAATAAAGTGTGCGCCGAGTTCCAATAAAGACCTGAAAATGCCATCTGGGAGAGCTGAGAAAGGGGGAAAGAGTTGGCTTTAACCTTTTATCTGTATAGGTACAATACAGATAATCTGAGTCAGGTAGTGCACTTAAATCATAGCATAAGTCATAAAGTACAGTACAGGTAAAGTAAGTCAAACAATATGAGTACTTTAACCCTTTCGTGGGCCATGGGAAGGTTACTTCCCACCTACATGATCCTGGGAAATATACCTGTGGGATGCGCAAAACCCACTATAATATATTGGCTTTGGTATTATGGCGTTGGGAACTCTAATTCCCACTTCAGTATAGTGCTGCCATCTGTGTTCAATCGATTGAAAACAGAATTAGCACATTTGTTTTGAAAGTTCGAACGCTTTGTGTGAGATCTGTTCCACTGAGACACCTGTTTTGATTTGACATTTGCATTGCTATACTTTTCTGCTAGAAATGTAAGTAAACACTGTTTTTATTATAATAACGTTCTCTTATTTTGTAATTTCTGCAGTAACTATATAATATTGAACAATAAATAATGGGTGAAAATGCTATTGCATCATGTATGAAAGCCACATGCAATAGGTATGTTGGAAAAATTAGAATATTTTTGAAAATACATTTGAAAATATCATTCAATTCTACTGCGAAAGAAAAGGATTATTTTGGCATAATTTTTACCGAGGAAATTTTACAGAATATTGTTGACGAAACTCATATGCAAAGCAGCCTAAGAAAAGGAAGAGATTGGGTCATACCAAAAAACATCCTGAACTGGAAGGAAATCACATCAGAAGAATTGAAAACATGGGTAGGTATGCATATACTCATGGGTATACATCAATTGCCTGAACTGAAAAAATACTGGAGCACAGACCCTATTCTCAATGTTCAATCAGTAGCAAGAATAATAATCGCAAAGAGGTTCAAAAAATAACTGAGACTTTACATGTAAACGATAACAGCGCAAATCCATGTGGGCAACTTGGGCATGATAAATTCCATAAAGTCAGACCAATCCTCTCACAGCTCAATGATTCCATACCTAAAGTCTATGAACCTTCGTCAACATTATGAATAGATGAACGTATGATAGCTTTCAATGGGAGAACTTCATTGAAGCAGTATATGCCAATGAAGACTATAAAAAGAAGTTACAAGGTGTGGTGTTTAGCAAACTCTAAGACTGGATATATTCAAAAATTTGAAATTTATTGTGGAAAAGAAACTTCTGATAATAAGGATAAAATATTGAGCTTAGGGAAAACACTAATAACTAAACTAACGGAAGATGTGAAACAGACAGGTCATCTTATAGCCTATGATAACTATTTGACATCTTTTAGGCTTGCAAAAAGTCTACTTATAAGTGGTCTGTTTTCTGCGGGGACTATTAGGCTGCAAAGGAAGGATCTTTCACCGATACTGAAGGCTAATAACAAACTACTAAGGGAGAAATCAGTGTTCCTAGCTAAGGAAGGTGTTGCTGCAATAAAGTGGATGGACAAAAAGGCTGTTATATTGTTGACTACTGCACACAATTCAGCAATTATTACATCTGTAAATCATACAAAAAAGGATGGTACTAAAACTGAAATACCTTGCCGTAAAGCTGTTGCCGTATATAACGATATCGTGGGAAGGGTTGATTGCTTCGATCAAAGAAATGAAAGATACCAAATAGGAAGAAGATCTGTAGAATGGTGGCGTCGTATTTTTTATTTTCTTACTGATCTTGGCATCGTAAATAGTTTTATACTGTGGCAAGTAAACAAGAGAAACAGAAGTTTAGACCAGCTAACATTCCGTATAGCATTAGCTTTATCAACTAACTAGACGGATATTCCTTGAAAAAAGGAAAGGCTGTCCTGCTAGCTTCCAAGCAAAACGGTGTGCAGTTCCGGATGATATACGCTTAGTCCAAGTGTGGGAAATCCTATGCCAAAGATGGCTTTCCAACTATAGACGATGTAAGGAAATGTAGCACAAAGGCCCAAAAAAGAGGACCCGCTATATGTGTGCAGTATGTGATGTACCCTTGTGCACTTGCAACATGTTTCTCATCTTTTCACAGGCAAATAATCGCCCTTTACATTGCGTTTGCTCTATGACCATAAAAGGTCCCGTGGGAAGTATACTTCCCACCCCTAGAATTTAAATGTAAACAAAAAATTTGGCAAAATAAAATATATTTCCTTAAATCCTATTGTTTAGTTGATAATAAAACATAAAAAAAAAGGGAGAAATTCAAAAGAGAAATAAATGGCCCATGAAAGGGTTAAGTATGGCCATAGGCTGTTTACAATTATTTGGGTCATTCACATCATATTCGTAGACACTTATAACAGGGTTGTTGATACTTGTGAGGTAAGCATGAAAATTCCGGGCAAGCCGGCAATAAAAATATTTCAGTTCTTCAATGAATTCATCATGAAGTTTTTGATTTCAAATGTACCAGGGCAAAAATGTTAGTACCACCACTACATTCTATAATGATTATTTACCCATAAATCCTCATCTATCCATAAAACTGTGAATATTAATTGGAAAAATTATAAAATAATGTAAATTCTTTGGATTTGCATAAGTCTATATTAATTGTGCATTTTTAATCATATTTATTTTATAGTGTCATTACATTAATTAAAACTCAAAATTAATTGGAGAAATTGTTTTTATTTCAGCAACAAAAATGACAGTGAAGAATTATTAGCTGAAAGAAGCATTACAGTTGACAGTAATGTATTTGAGGAAGATGAAACAACCACTTATGAGCCTTGTGATCTAATATATCAGAAAAGAGAAAAGCAATAATTTATCATAAATATTTTTTCATTAATATAATGTTGTTCAGATGAGAGAAATGTAAAACACACAAATTTATATTTACTCATTTTCAGCAAGCTGCTTTCTGAACATATGACCTGATTTGGCCTTTTACATAAATTGACAATACACAGTATTGTTTATACTAGATAAAAAGGTAAACACCATTCATATAATGATACACATTTTTTATAAGAAATAAGCTCCTGGCTACATTGGTTTGCAGGTCAGTGCAAATCTGCCAGAAGCGAAAGTGCTGAAGATACAGCAGTGCAAAAAGACATGACAACAAAAACAAAATTAAATATATCCACATTTATGCCACATCCATTTTTGTCCTGTACACATATATACATTTTACAACAGTTCATAAATACACAACACTGAGCCTGCTCATTGTGTGTACTTTTTAAACTCTACACATCCAAGCAAAATAATCACTACATATAAAACTCAAATATGTTTGAGTAAATATGTAAGAGTAAGTAACTATTTAATCATTATTTGAATAAAACATGTAAAATTATTAATATAATTATTTTTGGCATTTTGGCAAATATGTTAACAGTCATAAACTTTCTAATAAAGAATAAAAAAACACTAGAATGATTTTCATTTAGAAAATCAAGCAGTGTATTACTGCTGGCAAACAATGATTTAGTGATCACTTTACTGCTTGTGTATTTAAAATTTTTATTTGTATAACTCTACTTTCATACTGTAAATGTACAATTTTTATTAAGATTTGTATACTTTTAAAGGACTCATTGGATAATACATTTCATTTTCTCCTAACATAATAATGTAAAATAAAAGTAAACCTTTTTAAAAATACAGATTTGTGTTCTCTTTATTGGATGTTTTTACTAATTAGGACAGTACCATTGTCATTTTTACAATGTATTCCTGTATAAATTGAAACTAACTGCGGCATTATCTTCATTTCTGAAAATCTACTGGACTAGAAACACATCCTTATCTGGTCATATTCTGCTATTTAAAAACTGCCAGTAGGAACTGTAACAACATGCATGCTTCATGACAACAGTTATTGATATAAAGTTTTATGTACATCTGGAACAACAAAGTTCATAAACAGTGCTAAGAAAAGCCGACATTACAGTAGAGTCGAATTTTTTTTTTAAAGCGGCTTTTCTTTTTTAACTGCAAATGGAATTAATTTACCATAGAAAAACATTTAGTTGTTCACATTTATACACATAATATGATGGACAAAAATAAAATGATTATGTAATTTTTTTTTTTTTTTTTTTTTTTTTTTTTTGTGTGTTGTGTGTGTGTGTGAGTTAAAAAGTTCTGTTATTAACAGAACTGCTAAGTCACAATTATACCAAATATTGCAGATATTGCTTATGTTTTATGTATCTAAATATAATTCCAATATAAGAACTTTGTCTTGTGCATAGAATGTGGCTGGTGAAGCATGTATCATATACCATATTTCTTAATCATAAAATTTTCATATATGATACAGTAGTATAAAACAAAAACTCTCAGTAAACAAATTCTCAAAAAAATCTCTTTTAAAGGAATAAATCGCTTTAGTTTAAAAGTATATTATTCAGCTTTTAGGAAACATGCTTAAAATTGCAGCACATATTTTTTGTGGATTAGTTTCCTGGGGATACAAGTCCATTACAGCTTGCACTTGTTCTTTTGGAAATATAGAAGCTAGATGGAAATATAGTCTATAACGTGCACTGTCTGAAAAATCAGGAGAAGCAGCTCTTCCTGGGTGCTGAGAAATTAAACCAGCTTGCATTCCCGGTGGTGGAACACTAGACGGTCTCACAGGTTGACTGAGTACTTGTGATGAACCTCTTGCCATGCCAGACGAAGACTGTTCCTGCCAAGAAGATCCTATCATTTGTATTCCAGCAGAAGACATTGGTCTTGGAGGATCCAATCCATGACTTTGTGACAACCAATGCCGTTGCTGTATTTCAGGAAAATTTCCATGTTGAAGATGATGGCTTTGCATTTGTCCATCTGGATAAATGTTTAATCTAGTATCAGAAGTACTATTTAGATGTTGCATTCTAGTTGATGGTGGCCACTGGTTGTATGAATCTGGTGCACTAGCAATGCGTGTCACTGTTTGATGTTCAGTACCTACACCTTCCCATACTTGTGATGTCATGTGGACAGAACTAGCAACTCTACTGTCACTTCCCATTCTACTTAAAGGTTGATGAGCAATATGGCTCATGGCACTATAACCACTTTGCAGTAGATGTATATTCTCTTGACTACTAGACCGTGGCATTAAATCTGGTTGCTCTTGTTGAGATTTTAAGATACTGTAAGATTCTTGTGGTGGTAAAAGCATTTGGTGAGAACGATCCATGTATCTTCCCATTTGAACTAATCGAGGGTCATAAGCAGGATTAAGAGTTAACTGACGCTGCAACTTACGATGCAGGTTAGCAACCTCTGGTACCTGATGACTATGTGACTGAGACTGTTGTTTGGTGTAAGTTTTCATTCCTTTATTACCATGATTATCAGGGTCTGACAACCTTTTTGCTACAAAAAGATGGCCACCACCATCAGGTTCTAGAAAAATTTCAGCACAAGATCCAGGAATGTTAGGAGGAAGTGTTGTGGGTATAGTAGCCCAACTTCCACTAATGTTTGTAGCTGTTAATTGTGGGGATTCAGATGTTAAAGATATTTGTGGCATTGCTGATGACCATGTAGTTCCATAACCAGTGGGTGCTGCATAACATGGTGTGCCCATTTTTGGAAACATAGATTTCTCTTTTTCCTCGCATTTAGTTGAAGAACTGTCACTTTTTGTTCGTTCTACCAAATTATTTTTCTCTGATGAACCTTCTAGAGGAGTTGATGATGGCACTAAAGATTTTGTTCGTGATAATGGCTGTTTCTTTGACTTTGTACCTCCAGAAATCAATACATTTGATGAAGATTTTAATTTGTCACCTGTAGAAAAATCATAATCATTTATCATAATTTATTGGCCTTGTGTAATAAAGAAAATATCTATAATAAAAAATTACAATATACTGCTGTTGGAAGAAATATTTACCTGGAGATGATTCTCTACTTTTCAATCCTCTAGATTTAACTTCTTGTAAAGGTATTTTTGCTTGTTCAGCAAGCCTTTCAGTTACAGATTTTTGTGGTTGATTTCCTCGTTCTGGATGGTGATACTTGCATTTGTTCCCATAAGTACATTTTTTCCCATACGGACATGGTGGGGGCAAGGGTTCTACTGGGCGGAGAATAGCATGAGACTTGCGTAGAAAATTATCTAAAGAAGGGCCATGCCTACCAAGCGGGTCATCAGGCGGCATAAACCTATGAATATAAAAAGAGACTGGAATAAAATTTCTAATTACATCAAAAATAGTTTTCATATCATAACTAGTTTGGTAATAGAAATAAGAAAAAATAAATATTGTGAGTTATTTGTGTACCTGTATATACATTTTGCTATTAACTTCTTAGTTATATTGCCATTTTTCTTTTTTTTTTTTTAAGTAGAAAGCCACTCTGCACTTCATACGCAAAGTACAAATTTTTAACTTATTTTCCTTAGAAAGGCTTAATCCTCAAGGCAGATAGCCCTTGTGTAGTTTAACTTAATCAGTTAACTAAGCCATTAAGAAATGAAATACTCAAGTGCAGCAGAGAGTTTTGTGAAATTTTAAAATATATATTACTGGGTCTTTTTCAAATAATGTAATCAACAATTTTTGTTAATGATTGAATTAAAAAAGGAATTTTAAACGAGCTTTGTTAAATAGCTAGATACTTAAATATTACATTTTGTGATTCTTAATGTTTCAATAAAAAGTGCAAAAATATCAGTATTTATGCAGTTATAAATTGATACTTAAAATAAAAATATTATAGCATCATAATTAATTTAACCTACAAAATATGAAGAAAAATTGTTTCTTGATCAGTTTATTTAGGGTTCATTTTAAGTGTTTATCTTGAATCATAACATTAATTACAACATTTTCATATCAGCATTTACACTAATTTACTTCAAATAAAATATATGACAATTCTAATAAGTAAAAAGAAAAATAAACTGCTGTATACATATATTTTTATATTCATTGTCATTTCTAATAAGTAAACTGAAAATAAATAAACTTCTGTATACATATATTTTTATATTCATTAAACAGTTAAAAATAACAAATGATGATGTACTGACATTTGCCACTCAGACGGTATAGTGGTTAGGGAAGCCTGACTGCGATACCGGAGAAGGCATGGATGTAAAACTGTCTTGTCTCTTAATAGGAGGTGATGGTGGCCGCCTATTAGATGCCTCCACTTAGGAATGGCTAATCCGTTATAGGCAAGTGTCCGCCATTGGGGGGATATGCTGGCGCTTAAATATTTTATTATTTATGGGTATTATGTAACAGCTTTACATTTTACAGAAACAATAATAACCAACTTGTTCAGGATGTTCAAAATACGATAAGTGCCCACTCAGAAATCCAGATTTTCCTCAATTGTGCCCATAACGGGAACGACGGCAATGAGACTTGCAAAGGATGCAATGACTAACATCAACAGTGAGGTAATTCATGTTCCATGGCCCAAGTCCCGTATAAAATTTATACTGAATGCAATTGTCGACTCAGAGTGGCGAGAAGAATGGAATTCTGCATTACAAGGCAGAAGAGTCCACGATTTTTTCCCAAGAACTGACAAAGAGGCACTACACTATGACCATGTTCTGAATCAGTATATCACGGCACGGTCCTTTCCCCAGCTATTTCCATGACAGAAGCATTTGCCCCATGAGATCTCTGCATATGTGGCGAAAGGGGAGACCCAGATTATTACATTTTTGACTGTAATCTAACAAATGGCAAACATCTGATTAAATCTAACAATCTAAATACCATTTAAGAAATATGCAATAAAGAACAGACATCTTAGAGCCAAAATCAGAGATGTTCTTTTACATAGCCAAAGACTCGGACTGGACATTTGTCATCGCTTATTCATCTCCATATATTTCTAAAATATATTTATTTTTTTTTAATTTTAATATATTTAAAATATTTTTTTATTATTTTTCATTTGTATTCCAACAATTTCCTTTTTCTATGTAATGCTGATGGATGGGAGCTCCAAAGACTAGGTTATTACATCTTCCGCCTTAGAAAGGACATTTGTTCATACATTTAAACTTTTGGAAGCATCAGTTGTTGAACCTCTCAAGGACAGTCTTTTCTCGATATGATTTGTGTACACTATTAATACCAGAACTCATTTATCTCAGAAAGTCCTCTCAAGTGGTTGATGGTAAAAAAAGAGGGGCGGGAGAACCTCGGACCACCCCCCGGGGTGTTCTCCCTCAAAATTGGGATGGAAAGTTTAACAGTTAGCTAGGTTCAGCAATACCTCAATTACCTGTGGTACTACGGAGGTGCTGGCCTACTTTTCAACCTGTACCTGTGTTACTGTATTCAATCATTAGTAAAGTTAGCTGCATAAACATTTTTTTATTTGTTAAACTATATTAAACGAAACAATCTGGGAAAAAGTTAAAAATACAACCAAATTCTGAAAATCTTTTAATTTTTTTCTGCAAATAAAATGGGGAAATAAATTTGGATTTATTGGCAAGTTTTCTCCCATATTAATCGTTAAATGATTTTAGAATTCTATTTTTAAAGCGTTTTTTTTTTTTTTTTTTTTTTTTTTTTTTTTTTTTTTTTTCCCCATTACTAGATACTCAACAACACAATATTCCCTACGTATGTAATCAAAACACAATCGAAATCATAGATTTCAAAAGGAGATCCCGATTCTATCTTAAGCGAAAATACACTTTCTATCCTAAATTAGTATCAAAAGAAAATCACCAGAAGAGAGGCAACTTAAAAAAAATCACGCTCGAAGACGACAAGAAACTGCAGCTTAGGTACCCCAAAAGGTCTTCAAGTAACCAACAAAACAGTTCTTCAGGTTCTCAGGAACCCGAAACTCACGAATCCAAAACGTGACAATAGATGGTAGCGCGGTGGGGACAGGGAAGAAAATGGGAAAATGAACTCAATCGTAACAGCCGATCATGGATGTTTCTGAAAAAAAAAAAAAAAAAAGAACTTGCTTTATTCTTTAACCTGTCGGACACCTAAAATCGTGACATCCCTTAAGGTTAGGGAGAGAGCTCAATTCGGCAATCGTGTCTGGTCATAAATTCTATAATACATTTCAGGTAGTGATAAATATCTGCTTGTTTCAGATAGCATTAATATATTATAACCTGAGCTAAAATTGCGCCAGCGGCACTTCTTTTATGTACTGAGCCGAAATTTTATCAGAAGATTCCTTTAAACTGGAAAATTTATTTTATATGTAAGCTTTAAAAACTGATTCTAACTTCTGAATGTATGCCCATCTTTCACTGAAAAAGAAGAAATTTTTGGACGCAGTTTAAGACTATTAAGGAAAGAAGACTTCTCCCACATATCAAAGGCTTATTCTGCAGAAAGTGAATGACTAAGGGTAACTTTGCCGTTCCCCAAAAGCGCAAGATGTGATCACTATAAATGTGCACGTTCAACGCTAGTTATTTCTTACATGATCACGAAGTACACAAGCCTGCCTCATTCAGCATCAGCTACTTCCCCGATTGCTTGAAGCACGCTAAAATTATATTATTGCCAAAACCAGGAAAGGATACTACCCGGCACAAGTCTACAAGCCCATTAACTTACTTTCGGGCTAGGAAAAGTTTATGAACGTGTTATTCTAAATCGGCTCAAGCCCCCTTCTTAGATGTACTTCCGCCTGAACAGTTCGGATTTCGCGTAAAATTATGTACTTCCAAGCAGCTGCTAAGGCTTGTGGAATTTTGTGGAGATGCCTTACGCCACAGACAAAATATTACCAACCTCATGCTGGACGTGGCGAAAGCTTTCGACCGCGTCTGGCGTGAGGGGGAAATTTGCATATTTTCTTCTGTTTTGTTATCAAGTAGAAAATGAATTAAATATGAGAGTAGAAGGGCCTGACACAGTATCTCAATCGGATATACTTCATTGCAACAGAAATTAACTAAGACAGGCCGCAAACATTAGGAAATTTGCAACTGTTAAACGATGAGCTGCTGACTTCCAACGTGGATGCAAAATCATTTTCCATGAAACAGAAAAAATTGCATATCTTTTTTCTGTTTCATCGAAAATGATTTTACACGGGTACAGAGGGCGGGACACCTATATTTCACCATTGGTCATACAGATACAGTATCACCCCACTAACTATGCAGCTCCGTCCCAATTTTAATGCAGAACACCTCACGGTCTTCACCCCACTTCCCACCCTCCCTTACATTTCCTCACTCGACAGGACTTCCGGTTTGCCTGTATTTGGAATGTCCCATACCAAGAAACACTATGCACTTAAAAACATTTATGCCTTCTCCGGTATTCAAACTCGGGCCCATCGGTTCTGCTGCCAGCGTCGCTAATCACTATACTGATTAAAGCGGCATAGCAACAACAAAGAAAAATGGCTCCTTTGTACTGGATATGATCATAGACAATCGTTAAATGAGAAGCTCTGTAAAGCTCTGCAATTCTGTAAAGAAAGATATTCATAATCATCAACTAGTTAAGTACTCATTCGATAGCGATATTCATACTCATCAACTAGCTAAGTAATTTGTATAAGCCATTCTTATTTTTTAATATATTCATTCATTTATATATTATTTATATTTACATATGTTTATTCATTTTATTTATAGCTCACCAGCGGCCGAGCGGTAAAGTCGCTGAACACTGGTAGTTCGGTCGAGGTTCGAATCCCGCGAACGGGCTGGCTGCATGGCTTTTTTGTTTTCCCCATGTACGTGTATACGAGCTATTTCCCTTAAAGTCTCCACGAAGGTTCTCCTTCCCCTTAGGCAGATGCCTAGTGTGCTTTGCCATAATTAAATACACACATTTTATTTATATTCTTTTTAAGTTGTATTTTTATTGTATTTTTATTTTTTTTTCCCAATCGTGTAGTTACCTAATTGTATAGATTATTGCTAGTTTCCCTTAAAAAGTCCTTATTACGAATTTGCAGATAGCCCCTTAGGCCATACCCATTTTATTTATATTTTCTTTATTTTCCCTTATTTTATTTTTTTTTTTCCTTTTTAAGTTTTTATTTTTTATTTGCTTTATTTTTATATTTTAAGTATTTAATCTCAGCAGTACCAACTTATAACTCTGAATTATATGAAGCATATGAATGCAAGCTGTCTTTGGCTTTGAAATACTGCTACTATATGTACTCTCTGATTTTGTTTGAAAAAATGTACA